TAATGGCAACTACAAGTTTACCACATCAAAAATCCCATTATAAATGTAAAATAGAAAAGGCTCATCCTGTTGATAAGGTTAAATTACCAACCTCAGCAAGTGATACTGCTTAGGATCCAGTTGTGAGTACTGCTAAGATACCAATGCAAAATCGGAACTGTAGTTTATCCTGGATGAGAAAATAATGTAAGTTTCAACGGCATCTTGAGGTCTACTTAACTAGTTGTGAGGAAAACTCAATTATCCGCCTATCATGTCTAGGATTCTCAGTCAAGATGTACCAATAGTCTCAAAACTAATCACTATAGGTCAATTAGTAGGTACTTTCAAACGCTCCAGTCGGATTGCAGTGGCTGTATGGACGGAGAGATCGTGGGAGGACGTAATGGATGAGTCGGTGACCGGCAAGTTTTCGGGACTTCTTTCTGCCATTGAGGCAGCTTGGTCAGTAGAAGCATCGGCTCCGGTGGGTGTTGGTGCTGATGTCTGCAAAGCTGTGTCTAGACACGACTCTGCCACATCCATCCATTCGGCCGCAGCCAAAACGCGATCACTTTGCGCCTGGAAAGCGTCAATCAGCAGCTTACGTTGCCGCATCGCCTCGTCGATGCGCCAGTGCAAGTGGCTGTTGCGCGCCTCCAGCGTTACCAGCAGCTGGCTGCTGCTACCGTTTCTCAGAGCCACAGACTGAGGGAGGACGCCGTTAGGAGAGTGGACAACTGTTGAGTCTGTGTCGCCTGAGGCGACGGCAGGGCCAGAGGTCTGAGACAGGGCTAAGCCGATCAGATTTGAGGCCGAGGCCGATGCGTCTATAGCCGAGCGAAGTTGAAGATCCAACTGTTGGCAATCGGTCTTGAGGGTCTAAAGTACAAGAGAAAATCACGGCCCGACAAATAAATTATATATACATACCAACAAACAAAAAATAAATATATGATATATTCACACTATTTAGTTTAAGGTGATGAAGGACTGGTAGTAGAAATTTAAAATAATGCCATGAGTAGACCTGACGTTTCCAATAAATTTCACATAGCATTGCTTTCCCAAAAATTGTTATTATCCAGGACGGACTGAAGTTTCGACCTCACATCGGTCTTACTAACACCCCCAGCGGGAGTCGAACCGTGACAGTGCAGAATGGGAGGTTGACACGTTAACTACTCGACCACATGGCCACGAGTGCCCTTGGGCCACAGGGCAGATGTGAATTTCAAGGAAGGCCAGATATTTTGCCATATCACATTCTTTGGTGGGATTGTGGATGAAGCAAATGTATATTTGCTATAACAATCGACTACGTTACTTATTTTGCTTGAGTAGAGTTTCGAGACTACCAGTAAATTAGTAATATGAGATGTATTCACCATATTTCGTTTAAAGTGATGAAGGACTGGTAGTATAATTTTCCCACAATGATATGAGTTGAGCTGACGTTTCAATTGAATTTAACATATGTGATATGGCAAAAGACCTGGCCTTCCTTGAAATTCACATCTGCCTGCAACCCAAGTGCACTCGTGGCAATGTGGCCGAGTGGTGAACATGTCAAGCTCACATTCTGCACTGTCACGGTTCGACTCCCGCTGGGGGTGTTGATGCGAGGTCGAAACTGCAGTCCACACTGGATAAGAGTCGTTTTTTGGGCAGTGTGAAATTCAATGGAAACGTCAGCTCTACTCATGTCATTATGGGAAAATTCTACTACCAGTCCTTCATTACCTTAAACGCAATAGGATGAATACATCTCATATTACTGGTAGTCTCAAAACTCTACATACATACGAAAAAATAAATAAATTACCTTATTTCCCCATGTATAAGCCACCCCCAATTTTTTGACTGTGAAGTTTTGAAAAAATATTTTATTAGTGAA